GTTTCCACTCCTATGTTTGTTTTGCTCTCCTAAACTAGATCTGATACCTGATGAACACTTTCGTGTCACCAAGCATCTGGATCAGATTGTAGTTCATGACGCTACCCTCATGCAGTAAAAACGAATTCAGAAGAAAAAGTTCTAAGATTCAGCTCAATAGCCAATGGAATCCTCACCGAACATATAAATCCCCATCGAAAATCCCTTAATCCCAACAATAAAACTACTCAGACATAATGAACGAAATCATAGACATAATATTAAGAAGTAGAATAGAAAACGAAATTGAAAAAGAAAGAACAAGGGTTCAAGAGAACAAATCTCTCTCTCCCTAAAAGCTAAAGCAAAAACAATAAGAATATGAAGTAAATATTTCGGTGGTGATAGGTTACACGATTTCTAGGGCTCCTAAGACATGTATTTATAGTGCTCAAGACCTCTCTGGACGTCACTTAGGGTTTCTCCAAATGTGGGCTTCAGAAATGGGCTTTTTGGGCTTGAAGTTGGCTTGCCGCGGTCGGGACAAGTGTGACCGCGGTGGATGAGTGGTTTGCCGCGGTCGGGATGCTCCTGACCGCGGGAAAATGCTTGTTGGCCGCGGGTGGAAGTGCTTGCCGGCTGGTTTACGGGACATCTTGCTCTTCGCGTATCTTTTGATTGAACCGTTGGATTGCCAAGCTGTAAAGTGCACTGCAAAGCTGATACTTCCATCTTTAAGGTCTCCAAATTTGAGCTGGATCAGACGGTGAGAAGGCCTTCAATCAGGGGTGACCTTCTGACGGTTTGACTCTGAGCTGAAATCTGGTTTTCTATCCATTTTGTTAAGCTTTTCCCTAAGTTTCCTGAAAAGAGTCTTGAAACTACAAATACTAGAAAAAACGTGATAGAAGTACTTAAAAGCAATTAAAACATAGAAAATGTATTTCAAAACGATCCATAAAAGTGGTCAAAATACGGTGTTATCAGTTCTCCCTCTACTGGTTTCACCAAGACCGGCGGGCTTGCTAAATAGTTCTTCAACTCCTTGAAAGCTGTTTCGCATCGCTCGATCTCATAGACATGAACTCCTAAACTAGGACCAAAGATAGTGCATCAATCCACAACTTAGTCTAGAAAATTCTCACTAATTCATTCCAAATCATATCTTATTTCATGCATTTTAGGTCTTTAGGTGTTTTTTTAGGACTTAAGAGTTTGCATTAGGTCCATGTGAGTCTTGCATGTTTTGGAGTGTTTACAGGTGATTCGGAAGCAGTTTGGACCTAAAAAGATGAAGGCAGGAGAAGAAATGGTGAATGGGGGTTTAAAAATGGTGAAATCAGCCTTCTGGAGGTTCTCGGCGCTAGTCTGTACCGCGGGAAGCTTTTTCTTGGCTATATTCATGTACCGCGGGTGGATTTCTCGGCCTAAACACGTACCGGCCATTCAAGTTTCTCGGCCAAAATTCTCCGGTGCAGATACATCTCCAAAATTGCGTTACCGGAAGGTCTTGCCGGCCGTTTCAGCCTCCGAGGTCTTCATCAAAGATCAGGATAATTGAATCTAGATTTCATAACAGTTAGAATCGATAGATTTCGAGCACCGAGCTGGAAGATACGGCCACCGGAAGACAGACCTCTCTCGCATCCATTTCAAAGCAATCCCATACGTCTGGAAAGATCGCCTGTCCGGGGAGTCTTAACGTCCGATTCAGCTTACAGGGTCTTCTGAAAAGTTGGAGATGATCAGGTCACGGATCCACGACAAGTGGAATCATTGGATTTGGAGTCGTGAGCAGAGAGTTAAGCTCACCGAAAGGCACACCTGTCTCGGTACAGTTTCAAGACCGATCTGATGAGTCACAAAGATTGCGTGGGATGATGCCTTTTTATTCTGATTCAGTTGCCGGGGTCTTCATCAAGATTCGAGATACTTGAGTGCTCTTTCCCGTTTGGAGCTATGTGCTGAAAGATACCGTTTCCAGAGTGAACACTACTCCAAGAGCTTCTTTTTGATAGTTTCAATGCACTGCAGAGATGAGCCGTCCAGGGAACCTTCCACTTCTCAAGCACTGAAGGTTTCTTCACGAAATTTCGAGATATTCGAGTTCGCTTTCCACTTCAGCTGAAATCAAGCCATTTGGATCTATAACCTGGAAGTTACGCTCCCCCGAATGCGAAGTGGTTCGAGGAGATTTGAAGTCCGCGAGATGGTTTTGCGACTTGGGTAACTCGCAGCGCTTAAAGGATAATTTCTGGGAATTAGGCTGCGTGTGGAGATGTGCGGGTAAGGTAACCCTGGGTGATGTCAAAGGGTCCCAAGCAGGAAAAATGCTAAGTCCACAAGTGTGCGACTTGAGCATGCGAGTTGGCCGAGCAGTGAACTTAACCGCATAAACACTCGCTGTTTACACCGACTTGGGCTTGCGACTTGGGAGTGAAGTAAACCAAATCGCACACATACTCGAAGTCCTGTGCTACATGGTTGTGCGAGCTAGAGAGCAAAAAGAACTGAACCGAATAAAGACTCGTGGTTTACACCGAGAGAGGAATGCGGCTTGGCTTACATGGTTTTATCTCACAGAAGCTTCTTTCTAGACCTGTGCGAGTTGGGCATGCGACTTGGGACTAAAGGAGGACCAACTCGCACACATATTCTCCCCAGATTTCATCTTGGTCATGCGAGTTGAAGAGAAGAAAGACTGAATCGCATGAAGACTCGCGGTTTACACCTAGATGGGCATGCGACAGAGGTTGAAGGACTTAAGGCTCACAAGACTGTCTTAATGGCTGTGCGACTTGGGCATGCGACATGAGAAGCACCTGACCAACCCGCACACTCGAGATTTTATCCATCAAAGCCGGGTCAGGACCCGGTTTGTTTCGGGCTGACCCGGTTCATTTAAAGACCTATATATAGTTTTTAGGGTTTTACCCTAAGGACTAAGTTTTATTCCCTTTGTTTCTTGCCTCTTTTATGAAAAGACTCCTCTTAAGAAGAGAAATATCGATTTTTAAGGGTTTTAATCAAGAGAGATTGAGAGATTTTTGTGTTTAAAGCTGCAAATCCATCATTATCATTCTTCTCCATCTCCATTTCTCATCATTAATCATGCTAATCTTCTTAACTTGCAAAGGTTTAAGAGAGATTAGTATAATTAGTGAGTAGTCACCTTAGTGAGGTTCTAGATGTGTAGGTTAGGGTGCTTGTTAGATTAGGAGTGCTTAGGGCTAGATTCATTGATTCATCTCTCTAAACAGCTGCTCTCTCTAAACATTCTTGGATTGACACCTCTTTTGTGATACTTTGACAAGGGGATTGATAGCCCTAAGACCTAAAAAGTCTTGTCTATCAATTGGCGCCGTTGCCAAATTGTGGATTGTTTAGCATTAAGCTTTGATCTGTTCTTGAGATCAAGTCTTTTCCTTTTGTTTTACTAATCACTTTGCAAGTTCTGTCTTTGTTTTCAGGTGTATGAACACCAGATCAAGGTGAAGAAGCTGTGGTCCACCATTTCCTCTGAACGACAACATCAATCTCTTAGTGCCAAGAAGAAGAAGAGATAGACGTCCTAGGGAAACAGATAGATCAGCTGATATGGAACAGCAGAGAGAGCACCACGTGGTTGACATTGAGCACCAGGCTCAAGAGGAGCAACAGGCTCAGCATGGTAATGGAGCTCAAAGGAATCAGGCTCAAGCTGACAGAAATGAGCAACAAGCCTTTGTCAATATCAACATGGCACAAAGGAATGAGAGGCAGGCTCAGCAGAATCAGCAGCAGGCTCATAGGAATGAGCAACAGGCTCACTACATTCCTCAGCATCAAGCTCAAAGGAGACATGATCCTCCACCTGTGTTTGTTGGGGAAAATGACAGGGCGAATGCTCATCAGTATGGAGCAGGGATTCAAGCACCACCGGTGCAAAATAACAATTTTGAATTCAAGGCATCTTTGCTGAATATGGTCCAAAACTCCACGTTCCATGGATTGCCAATGGAAGATCCTTTGGAACACTTGGACCAATTTGATAAAGTTTGTGACTTGACAAAGATAAATGGAGTATCTGAGGACAGCTTCAAGCTCAGATTATTCCCCTTCAGTCTTGGTGACAAAGCACACCAATGGGAGAATAATCTTCTAAGAGGCTCCATTCAGACTTGGGAGCAATGCAAGCAGGCATTTCTGTCTAAGTTCTTCTCAACTTCCAGAATAGCAAAGCTAAGAAACCAAATCTCCAGCTTCACTGAACATAGCAATGAGAGTTTTGGTGAAGCATATGAGAGATTCAGGAGCTACACTAACCAATGCCAACACCATGGGTTTAGTGAAGCTTATCTTCTCAGCACACTTTATAGAGGGGCTCTTCCCAAGATTAGGAACCAGCTGGATACTGCATCAAATGGAAACTTTCCGGGTAAGGAGATACATGCTGCTTTAGAGCTGGTTGAGAACTTAGCAATGAGCAATGATACATATGGACCCAATAGGAGTGAGAGTCTAGCAGGGATCAAAGGTATGAGAAGAACTTTAAAACACTTGAAAGCAAGCTGGACAAGGTGTTATTGGCCACTCAAAAGCCAATGCACTTTGTAGGAGAGTATGAGGAACCTTCTCAATGCTTTGAGAACATCAGTGAAGAGAGTCTTACTCAGGAAGAGCTAAACTATATTGGGAATCGGAGGTTCCAAAGATATCAGTATGCCAATTCCAATCAGAACCTCTCTTACAGGAATCTCAATGTAGCCAACCCACAAGACCAAGTTTACCCTACCTCTCAAGCTCTACAGAATTTTGTTCCTAAGAACAACTTTCAAGGGTCTTTTCAACTAAAGAATCAGTTTGTTCAGAATCAGGTTTACAGTCAGCATCAGCAACCACTTCAGGGTTCTGGTTTCAGTTCACAGCAGGAGCCAAAGGCACCACCAGGGTTCAGTCCACCACAGTTTCAGCAGCAGGCGCCGGTTCAGCATCAGTTACAGTCAGCACCGGTTCACCAGTAGCAACAGAATAGGGCGGACATGGTTGGGATTCTACAACAGCTGCTTCAGGGCCAACAAATGTTTGCAAGTCAGTATGCATCTATGCAGCAAGACATCAAGGAGCTGAAACAGAATCAGGCATCCACTTCAAGAAGCCAAGGTGGCTTACCTGGTATGCCTGAACCAAACCCAAAGGATTATGCTAAAGCCATTACATTGAGAAGTGGCAAAAAGCTACCAGGTATAGAGCACAACAATGTGATCATTGAGGACAATGATCAAATTGGTGAGGAAGCAGCCCCAAGGGATGAACAAGAAGCTGAAAGATCAAAGAAAGGGAATGACAAAGAGGTGGAAAAGCCATCAGAACCAGAAAAGCCTTATGTTCCACCACCTCCCTATCAACCTAAGCTCCCATACCCAGAAAGATTCAAGAAGCAGATTGCAGATAAAGCAAGGGCACTCTTTGAGAAGACTCTTAATGAGACACCACTTACAATGCCTCTCATTGAAGCATTTTTTATGATGCCTAAGCTGGGAAAGTTTCTAAAAGATGCTATCTTGAACAAAACTAAAGAGCTACAGGGTATGGTGGTGCTTAGCCATGAGTGTAGTGCCATCATTCAGAGAAGTTCAGTCCCAAGGAAGCTGTCTGATCCAAGGAGCTTTACTCTCCCTTGTGCTATAGGTCCATTAATGTTTGCTGGTTGCCTTTGTGACTTGGGTGCATCTGTCAGTTTAATGCCATTCTCTATAGCAAGAAAGCTTAGATACAGAGTGTCCAAACCTGCTAGAATCTCTCTTGTCCTAGCTGATAGGTCAGTAAGGCTACCTGTTGGGATGCTAGAGGACTTACCAGTCAAGATAGGTGGTTTTGAAGTACCTACAGATTTTGTTGTTCTAGAGATGGATGAAGAACCTGTTGATCCACTGATTTTGGGCACACCATTCTTGGCCACAGCAGGAGCAATCATTGATGTAAGAGGTGGCATCATTGAGCTACAACTTGGTAAAGAAGAGCTGAAGTTTGATATCAAAGACATGATGAAGAAGCCCACCATAGAAGAACAATGCTTCTATGTAGAGACCATGGATCAACTAGCTGATGAGTTGCTTGAGGAATTGAATACTGATGATCCTCTTCAAGTTGCTTTAACAAAAGAACAAGGAGACCATGGGTTCTTGGCAGAGGAGAGTGAAGGGTACAAGCTAGTTTTGGAGAATGCAATAGAACTTGGTCCTGAGGCAAGGTTTTTGGAATTGGAACAAAGTGTCCCTGAGGTCTTGGATATCAGAGGCTCAAACACTAGCCAAATAGCGGTTAACAAAGTCATGGCCGTAGGTTCTAAAGTGGAGGAGCAAGCTGAGCCGTGTGAGTAAGACAGATTCAGGGCTGATTGGGATGAGTCTAAGGCACCTCAGCTGGAACTAAAACCTCTTCCCAAGGGGCTCAGGTATGCTTTCTTAGGTCTCAATGAGTCTTATCCTGTCATTATCAATGATAGGCGTCTCAATCCCAATTTAAAAGAGGTAGTGAAGAAAGAGATTCTAAAACTCCTAGAGGCTGGGATAATTTATCCAATCTCAGACTCTAGATGGGTTTCACCAGTACATGTGGTGCCCAAGAAGGGGGGAATGACAGTGATAAAGAATGATAGGGATGAGCTTATTGCTACAAGAACTATCACTGGACACATGATGTGTATAGATTATAGAAAGCTCAATCCAGCCTCTAGGAAAGACCATTTTCCTTTGCCTTTCATTGAACAAATGCTAGAGAGGCTTGCAAACCATCCCTTCTTTTGTTTTCTAGATGGTTACTCTGGATACTTTCAAATCCCCATAGATCCAAGAGACCAAGAGAAGACCACATTCACCTGTCCCTATGGGACATTTGCTTATAGGCGCATGCCATTTGGGCTGTGCAATGCTCCTGCTATTTTCCAACGTTGTATGATGTCGATTTTTTCTGATCTGATTGAGCAGAAAGTAGAGGTCTTCATGGATGACTTCTCAGTCTATGGACAGTTTTTCTCCTCTTGTTTGTCTAATCAGTCTCAGGTCTTGGAGAGATGTGAGGAGCACAGCTTGGTGTTAAATTGGGAAAAATGTCACTTCATGGTTCAATAGGGAATAGTGTTGAGGCACAAGGTCTCAGAAGCTGGAATAGAAGTGGACAAAGCAAAGATGGAAGTGATAGTGAATCTGCAAGCTCCAAATTCAGTAAAGGGGATAAGAAGCTTTCTTCGGCATGCAGGGTTCTACAGGAGGTTCATCAAAGACTTCTCAAGAATAGCTAGGCCTTTTGACAAGGCTGTTGTGCAAAGAGGTTGAATTGGTCTTTGATGCTGAGTGTGAGGAAGCTTTCAAGAAGATAAAGGAACCATTGATCAGTGCACCAATTGTTCAGGCCCCTGATTGGTCATTGCCCTTTGAAGTGATCAAAGATGCTTCAGACTATGCAGTTGGAGCTGTGCTTGGCCAAAGGAAGGACAGAAAACTTCATGTGATCTACTATGCCAGTAGGACCCTTGATTCTGCTCAAGAAAAGTATGCAACCACAGAAAAGGAAATGCTGGCAATATTTTTTGCATTTGATAAATTCAGAAGCTATCTGGTGGGATTAAAAGTGATTGTGTACACCCTCAGATATCTCATGATTAAGAAGGACGCCAAGCCTAGACTCTTGAGGTGGGTTCTTCTCCTACAAGAATTTGATATGGAAGTGCTGGACAAGAAGGGCATTGAAAATGGAGCTGCAGATCATCTTTCTAGGCTGAGAGTGGAATCAGATGTCCCCCTAGATGACTCACTTCCTGAAGAGCATCTGATGGTTGTCAAGACCTACTTAGAGGTGGAACAGTAATGCTATAAGAGGAAAAAGTTTACCTTGGTTTGCAGACATTGTTAACTATCTCTCTAGTGGTGTAGAGCCACCTGAACTAGATGCCTACAAGAGAAAGAGATTCTTCAAAGAGGTGCAAAGGTATCATTGGGATGAACTTTATCTGTATGTGCTGAACAAAGACCACCTGTATAGGAGATGCTTAGCTGAGGAAGAGATGCAACTAGTGCTACAGGAATGCCATGGCTCAGCTTATGGAGGCCATTTAGGAGCTTTCAAGACAGTGCCCAAGGTGTTACAGTCAGGGTTCTGGTGGCCTACAATGTTGAGAGATGCTCAGGTGGTTGTATCAAGCTGTGACCAGTGCCAGAGCCAAGGCAACATCTCCAAGAGAAGTGAGATGCCCCAAAATCCCATTTTTGGAGGTGGAAATTTTTGACTGCTGGGGTATTGACTTCATGGGTCCTTTTGTGAGCTCATATGGGAATCAGTACATACTTGTTGCTGTGGATTATGTGTCCAAATGGGTTGAGGCTGTTGCTTCCCCAACCAATGACTCTATGGTGGTGGTCAAGCTCTTTAAAATCACCATCTTCCCAAGGTTTGGGGTCCCTAGAGTGGTTATAAGTGATGGAGGTTCGCATTTTGTGAACAAGGCTATAGAGGGACTGCTAAGGAAGCATGGTGTCAAGCACAAGATAGCTAGTCCATATCACCCTCAGACCAGTGGCCAAGTAGAGGTTTCAAACAGATAGATCAATGCCATCTTAGAAAGGACAGTGAGCAGCTCAAGGAAAGATTGGAGCAAGAAGCTGGATGATGCTCTTTGAGCCTATAGGACTGCTTACAAGACTCCCATTGGAACATCACCTTTTAATCTGTTGTATGGGAAGAGTTGTCATCTACCAGTGGAGCTTGAGTACAATGCTCTTTGGGCTGTTAAAATGTTGAACTTTGACATTAAGACAGTCCAAGAGAAGAGGCTACTCCAGTTGCATGAACTTGAAGGGATCAGACTCAATGCCTTTGAGAGTGCAAGGATATACAAGGAAAAGAAAAAGATCTTGCATGATCAGAAAATTCTCAAGAGGGAGTTTAAGGTGGCAGATCTGGTTCTTTTGTTTAACTCAAGGCTCAAGCGCTTTCCTGGTAAGCTAAAGTCAAGATGGTCTGGACCATTCAGGGTTTAGAAGTTAGAACCTATGGAGCATTGGTCTTGGAGGGAAAAGATGGAAAAGGTTTTGTTCTGAATGGACAAAGAGTCAAGCATTACCTTGTTTCTGAGAAGAGAGAGGAGGCATCTAAAGTTCGTCTAGATGATCCACCAGCCTGTTAAACACGTTTTCAAAGTCAAACTTAGTGACATTAAATAAAGTGCTCTTGGGAGACACCCCAAGCTTATCCTTGTACATAGTTCTTTTAATCTTTTCTTTTCTTTCTTGTTATGTTTTAGGATCTTTTGATGGGTTTTGTGAGTTGTTCTCAGGTTCACCTAGCAGCAGGAGATTTGAGCAAAAAAAAATTTAAGTGTTGCTGGTCTGCGAGTTGGTTCTGCGAGTTGGATGCATGTGAGACCAAGCCGCACTAATACTCGCCGTTTACACCGGTCTGGGTCTGCGAGAAAGACCAAGAAAAGACCAGGCCGCACACCAGGAGAAAGAGTCCCAGGCGCTCAAAGACAGATCCTGCGAGATGGGCATGCGGCTCGAACAAGGAGAGACCAGGCCGCAGAAGAACTCGCTGTTTACACCGGGTTGGTTATGCGGGCTGATTCAGGAGATCCCAGACCGCACAACAAAAAGGAGAGTCCAAGGCGTTCAAGTGTCAAAATGCACGAGAAGGGCGTGCGGCTTGAAGAAAGGAGGAACCGAGCCGCAGGAACACTCGCTGTTTACACCGGCCTAGGCCTGCGAGTTGATTCAAAAGGATGCCAGGCCGCACACCAAAAAGAAGAACCCAAAAAGTTTAAGTGTGAATTACTGCGAATCAGGTGTGCGGCTCGGCGTGAAGAGAAGACCAGGCCGCACTAATACTCGCCGTTTACACCGGCCTGGTCATGCTAGTTGGTCCAAGAGCAAGCTAAGCCGCACACCAGGAAAAGAACCTGTGGCGTTCAAGTGTTAAAAGCGTGCGACTCAGGTCTGCGAGTTAGACAGGGAAGTTCCAGGCCGCACTAATACTCGCTGTTTACACCGGCCTGGGAATGGGAGTTGGTTCAGAGAGGAGACTAGGTCACACGATGAGAAGAAGCAAAAAATCGGCCAAGGTTTAAAATGTGCAACCTGGGCATGCGAGATGGTTCGGGGTCTGCCCAGGCCGCACAAACGTTCGCGGTTTACACCAACTGGGACGTGCAGGTTAGTTCAAAATTGAGCCAGGTCGCAGCATGAGAGAAGGGATCAGATCGTGCAAGGGAGATTTTTGTGCGACCTGGGCATGCGAGACGGTCAACACCAGGTTTTAGGTCGCACAAGAATTCGCGGTTTAAACTGAGACGGGCTTGCGGGTCATCAGGAGGTCACGCCAGGTCGCAGGACAAAGGGGAAGGCCAAAGCTCTCAGAAGAGTTTTGTGTGCGACTTGGGCGTGCGGGATAGGAAGAAGATGGTCCCAAGTCGCACACAAACTCGCAGAACACACCGAGTCAGTCGTGCGGGATGAGAAAGGCCAAGTCCAAGGCGCAAAAGGAGGGAAAAGGAGTTTGGCCAACCAGAAAGGACAGGTCAAACCTTGACTAGTCAAAGTGGATCTATTGACCACCAGCCCAAAGGCTGTACCTAGTCCCACACTCTCTCTTCCTCACCAAAAACACGAGTTTGCCTCCTAAACCCCATTTCTCTCCATTGTTTTCTTCATAACTCTCTCATTACTTCACCAAATTCACTGATTCAAAGTGCTCTGAGCTCGTTTTTGAGTTGGTATTCTCATCCGGTTAGCATTTCGAACTCTTTTGCATCATAATCCCAGGGTATTCACTCTGTTAAAACTCATCTTTTTCCATGTTCTTAAATGGTGATTTTTGAACTTCATAGGTTGTTGTAGACCTTGGGATTATTTTTATAAATGCTAGGGTGCTAGATTATCATGGAAAACAGAGCTCTTTCTTGGTGATTCACTGTTCTTGAATTTTGAAATTTGTTGCAAAATAATTCATGAAAAAATCGATTTTTCTTGAAAAAGTGATGAACTTGTTTCTTGCTGAGTCTTCGCTTTACACTTTTGTTTCCATTGCTATAAATTCATTGGACTGATGCTTGGCTTGAGAAACTTGTTCATGTTCTTTAGAAATCGATTTTTGCAACAATTTTTCAAAAATTTTGAGAACTTTTTGGAACTTGATCTTGTGCTAACTTGTTTCTGAGAAAATTTTTGGCAGATGACTGAGAGAACCAATGCTCAAGCGCGCATGAAGAAAGGTCTTGCATCCAAAGACAAGAGCTTGGTCTCAAGATCTTCAAAGCCAAAAGGAAATGGCCAAGGCACCAAGAAAAGCACAAAGCAAGGAAGGAGTGAACAAGAGCCAAAAAGAACAAGGAATGAAGAGAAAGCCTTGGTGGCTGTGGTCTCTGATGATGAACAAACTCAGAGTGGTTCAAGCAGCTCAGCTGGAGGTTCCCAAGGCGTCATTGAAGAGGCACCAAAGAGGATCAAGAAAACTAAACTAGAAACAACTGATTATCTGGCCAAGTTTCAGCAGATAGGGATCCAGCAAGGGAGGTTCCCTGATGTGGAATTTTTGAAGAAGATTGGCATCTATGAGGATGTCAAAACTTTGCTTGGGAACATGGGCACTGAATCCCTCTTGGAACTGAGAGAAGTGGCTTATAAGGAGGAATCTTAAGAGTTCTTGGCCTCTCTTGAATTTGATCTGTACATGCCAAGGGACCCAAAAGTGATTCAATGAAGAAGTCTAGGAACTATTCAGTTTCAGGTGAAAGGGCATCTCTACACGGTGCCATTCAAGGAGCTGACTGAGATATTTGGATTCTCTGCGCCTAAAAACATACCTCTCTCCAAAAAAATCAGTCTTAGAAAGGAAGAAGTTCAAGCTTAATGGGGATCAATTGCATTTGGGAAGTACACAGCTGGAGCAGCTAAGTCCTCTTGGATAAGAAACCCGATGCTGAGATATGTTCATAAGATCCTTTCTCACAGCTTGTACTTCAAGCTTGATGTTGGGAGAGTTCATCAAGGTGATCTGAACCTCCTTGGCGTGGGACTGAAACAGTTGATGCCAACTCATGAGAACGGGAAGCCTTATGAAGGATATGCTCACACACCTTGCCTTGCCTCTCAACTAGCAAAGTCTTTGATGTTCTACAAGGAGTGAATTTGGGATTCAAAGAAGAAAGATGCAAAGCTGGCCCATGGTTGGGTTGTAACAAAGATTTTGAAGGCAAGAGGATACAGGTTTAAGGAGAGTAAGGCAAGGTTTGATCTGATTAATGAAGCTCATCTGTGCAAGATTGGTTTCTTTCAAGGGAGAGTTGGTGCCAAGCTGGTTTCAACTTCAAGTACTTCATGGATGAGCCACTCCAAGTTCTCCTGCCCAACCCCTCCATCACCATAGTCCAAGTAAAGCACAACATTCACTTTTACTTGTTGAAAGAAGAGCTCTACAATGTCCAGACTGATCCACCGATTCTCAAGTACAAGAAAGCTTGCAGAGAAGAAGCTTCCAAGGAAAAGAAAGCAGCCGCTGAAGCTGCTGCTGCTAGTGCTACTGGTGCTGGAGATGATGGTCTGCCTCCACCTCAGAAACGTTATGGTGGGAACAGATACCACTTTGATGATTACAAGTGGGAGGAGCCAGGCACCTCAGGGTTTAGAGCTCAGCAAAATATTGGTGTCCAGAAATGGTGCAAGTATCATGGCAAAACGATACACAATATGGCTAAGTGTATCAAGGAGATGAAGAAAATGATCAAGAAGCTTGAGAACCCTTTGCAAAGATGTATCTACAACACCAATTTCACCAAGACACAGAGAAGAGGTTGGAGAGACCTCCACCAATTGCACAGCACTGGTACCATATGGCACAGCATGGGTGGATCTTGAAGCCGGTTCTGATGAGGCAAGCCATCACTCTTGGGTGACACCATCTGGCAACACATCAAACCCCTCATACTCTTTGGGGTCAGACTTCCAAAGCTCTTAGGTAACACTCCAACCCTTGTACATATGCATATAGTTCTTTCTTTTTTCTCTTTCCATTTTGTTTGTTTGGGTTTGCACTCCTTTCTCATGCTTTTATAACACAGGGGACTGTGTTATTTAAGTGTGGGGGAGGAGTTTTGATAACACCAGATTTTGACCTTATTTATAGATCACTTTTAGTATCTTGTGCAGGTTTTTTCAATCACTTTTGAAGGTTTTATAAGTGATTTCCATGTTTTGGAGTTTTAAAAGACTTTTCAGGTTACTTAGGCAAAAAAATATGCAAATTCGAGAAAAATCCACTTTTGGCCAATATCGAACCGTCAGAAGTTTCACATCCCATGAAGACCTTCTTACCGTCTGATCAGCTCAAATTTGGACACAAGATATAGGACAAAATCAGCTTTCCAATACAACTGGAAACAAAGCAATCTAACGGTTGGATCATAAGTTATTTCCAATTTACTGAAGACATGTTCTGCAGTTTCGCGAAAGAAGCAAGAGAAGGAATGAAGTTTCGAGATCATATACCAACCACCACCGCCCAGGAGCTCGTGACCGCGTTGAGCACTCTCCTGGCCAAGCCTCAGAGCCTTAATGCACGGTGGCCCAGCATTTACCAGACTTGGAGAAGCCCAACTCGGCGACAAGACCAAGAACGGCCCAATAGCCTGTTTTCAAGTCCAACTCATTCTCTCTGAAAAATAAGCCCTAAGGATGACCAGAAACACTTGGAGACCTATAAAATGTGTTTTAGAAGACCTAATTTCGTGTGTGCTCCTTTTCCCTTGATAGGGAGGCACCCAACTCTTTTTTCTTAGGTTTATATTAGGGAGATAGAGATTCTTCTCTTGAACCTTTGTTCTTTCTTTTCATCTATCTAATCAGTTTATGCAATCTCTTTTACTTTACTGTTTTTCTATTTCAAAACCAATGATGATGCTTTCAAGCTCAGCCATGTCTGAGTAGTCACCTTGCTTGGTGAAGAGGGCCATCGAAAAGGGACCCCATGATCGATGACATCTAGGTTTTTTAGGTTAAAGGATTTCGATTTTAAATGATTCTCCCATTCATCCAAATCTCAAAGCGGCAACGCTGGAGTAGCTAACCAGTGTCCGATCATAGGTTAAATCCGAGCCACGAGGGTGTTGTATCTGGGTTGCCTGAACTGGATCTTATG